GGCCCCTCCCCCAGCTCCAGCCACCCCCAGGGTCCAGGGCCTCATTCCCACCCCCAAACAGGGAGGCACCAGCCAAAAGTCCCCCAAACCCCCTCCTCCCAAGCCCCCTCATGGTGCCCTCCCTGGGGTTGGGCTGGCAGCACCCACAGCTGACACATACACAGGGTGGTTTATTAGGAGATACACAGGCACATGCTCCAGGGCACAGGGACACACTCCAGGAAACGGGGACACGTTCCAGGAAACGGGGACACGCTCCAGGACACGGGGACACGCTCCAAAAGGCTCTGACCCTGGGAGGTGGCAGCTCTTGTCCCCGCAGCTCTCAGCACAGACTTGTCCAGATGGGAGAGGCAGCTCCTGGCCCTCTCATCATCGGTGTCCCCCAGGTCCATCTGTGCCACCAGTGGCCCCAGAGCTGGCAGCAGCTCCCACGAGCAGCCCCGAGCCCACTGGTACTGACCCAGTGCAGGACCAGGACAGGCCTGGGGACACAGGGCAGGAGACAGCCCAGCCTGGGAAGGATGGAGGGGACAGCAACCTCCAGGAACCATCAGATCCAGGTGTGTTTTTACAACCAGGAATCCCAAGAAGTGCTGGGAGAGGTCAGCCCCAGCTCTCCCCCCTGCAGCTGCGCATCCGTGGGGAGGGAGGAGAAGGGGCCATCCTTGGTGCTGGGAGACCCGCGAGCAGAGCCCAGGTCTAAGGTGAGAGATGGACAGGCAGCCACCCCACCACCCAGCTCCGCTCCCCAGCCTCCCCCCAGGCTCACATGAACTGTGACAGGTTGGGCACTTTGATGTTGATGTCTCCAATGTTGATGTTGCGAGGGATCTCTGGCAGGTTGATGTTCTTCACAGCTGACACAGCGCGGGAGGGAGCAGCAGAGAGGCCTCCCTGCTGGCGGAGGGACCCGTGACCCCCAGACTCCCTGCCAGGGGCTCTGGGGGGCTCAGCCCCATGCGTTGCCACTGGAGCACCCCTGAGCTGAGCTGCTCTGCCTCCCCCCAGCCCCAGCACCTGGCTGTGTCACCCCCAGACTGGGCTGGGCACAGGGAGCAGTCCCCACCCCCCCATCCCATCCTGCTCCCACCAACAGCCCGGGACTGGGAGTGGCTGGGGCAGCACTGGGCTTCCCTGCAGCTGGAGGCAATAAACTTCCACTGCCCCGAGCTGGCAGCCTTGCTGGGAGCTGCCCTTTCCATCGCCACTCCTGAACAGCACGGAGCACAGCCCCCAGTCCTCCTCCTGAGGATTTGGTCAGGCAGAGACTGGGGATACTGGGGATACGCCAGGGCCAGCCCCCCAGCTGCCCCCGCCGCAGCCTCGCCGCTCACCTCTGCCTTCTCCAGCTTGCTCTGGGCCTCCACCTGCGCCACAATCTCATTCATGTTGGTCTCCAGCACCATGCCACCTATCACCACCTCCTGCAAGATGTGGTGAACCTGCAAAGGGAGGAAGGGAAGAAGGGAAGGGAGGGAAGGGAGGCTGCGAGCCCAGCCCCACCTGCTGCCCAACTACTGCGCCTGTGGGATGCTGTGGAAGCACACTGGGGGCTGAGGGACACAAATCCCACTCAGTCCTCTCAGCCTCTCTGCCCAGGTCCTCAGCCCTGGGATCTGGCAGCCCCATTTACTGCTTGTGCCTCTGCTCTAGAGGACAGGACCACCAGGGTGGGAGCAAATGTCACCCACCAGACCACTGGGCACAGGACAAGGAGGCCAGGTCTGACCCAGCCGTGCCATCCCCAACACTTCCATTGAGGTCTGATCCCTTCCCAGGGCCCCCCAGCCACTGCTTCCCTGGTCCACTTTATTCCATCAAGAAAGCCAGGCCAGAGCCCAACTCCTTTGCTTTCTCTTAGGAAAGATGAGACACACAAAAATGCACAGGCAGCTGCTGGGAGATCCTGCCCCCTCCCCAGAGTCTGTGCGGGCCCAGGGATGAAGCCAGGAGCTCTGGAGCAGTGAGAAACAACACAGCTCAGGCCCCACCACCCCGTGGAGCCCGGTGTCCCCTGCACTGTCAGCTGCTCCCAGCACAGATAATGGATTTATGGGTCTCTGGTTACTTCCCTGAAACAAGTTCCTGGAGGATGGTTAAGTTATTGCATCGTTTTATGGCTTCACAGGGACAGGCTGTGCTTGTGAACACGTGGTGGCAAGTCCTGCCAGGGCAATATGGGGAAAACAGAGCCAGTGAGAGAACCTGCTGGAAGGGGGACCCAGTCCTGTGCCAAGGGGCTCCCCAGAGCCCTGCCCCATGGCAGCAGCACCGTGTGCTGCAGCAGCATCCCACATGGTGCAGCCACTTCCCAGGACACCGACTGCCCTGAAACCGCCATCTCAGCCCCAGCAAACACCACCCCAGCTAGTGCTGGCAGCTCCTTGCAACAGGAGAGCATCTGAGCTGCAGGAAATGTTGTTCCTTCAAGATCTGGCTTTGGCCCAAATTGGCCTGAAACCAACAGGGCAGAAATCCCAGGCCAGCATTGTTTTCCAAAGCAAAGCACAGCACTTCCTGGACGACCTGTGTCCTCGCCGGGACCCTGCAGCTGCTCAGTGAAACTCCAAGGTACGAAGCACAAGCAGGGGCTGGCCAAGAGCCTCTCCCAAGCCTCGCCACGGCCCTGGGGCTCCTCCCTGCCTTGCCAAAGGGATCCCTGCAGCTCTCAGGATGCTGCTTCCAAGGCTGACAGCCCAAGAGCAGCAGTGTCACCAGTGCCCAAGAACTGCAGAGGTCCTGCCAGCCCCATCCTGCTGCCTGGGCAGGGACCCAAATCCCACAGCAGCTCATTCCACAGGCCCTGCTCTGCCTAAGGGATGTCTTAAGGCAATAACAGAACACTCCAGGACCCAAAATCTCAGCTGGAACCCACAGGGCTGGGGACATTCACAGCCAAAAGCTCTACTGGGAAAATCAGCACATTCCTGTCAATGCCAGCCTCCTTTCTCCCATTCCAGCTGGGACCTCCCAAGGGCTTTGGTGCCTCTGCCACCAGGCCCTGCAGCATCACAGTGTAGAAATTCCAGCCCGGTCATCTAAGGGGCAAGAGTTGGGGCCCCTCAAAGAGCCCCCAGAGGCCACCCACCTGCAGCCAGGCTCTGGACAGTGCAGGAGCTCAAGAACAACACATTCCAGGAAGAAAAACATGCAAAAAACAAGAGAGATAAGAAGAGCAATGACTGGAGCAGGGCTGGAATGGAAAGCGAGCAAGCCTGGGGGGCAGCAGAGCCCCCATCAGAGCCTCCAGCCCCCATTGCTTGGCCACAGAGCCCAGAGCAGGGTGCTCTCCTCTGCCTGTGAGCTGAGGGTAAAGCTGCTGGCTCCCAGTCCTGCCACAAAACGAGTAACCAAGAGGGCACCATCCCCCAGATGTGTCCAGTGGTGACCCGGGGCTGGCACAGCCCCTGCTCCTCCCACGTGCATGGCTCTGTCCCTGGCACTTCCTTCTGCTGGCTGCGATAAGGAGGAGATCATCAGCCCTGGGAGGTGCTGGAAGGTTATGGCCCTGCTGGAAGGTTACAGCTGGACAAGTTGTGAAATCAGGGTCCTGCTCCACCAGCAGCATTCCTCGGACCGGATCGCCTCCAGGGAAGGTTTGCTAACTCTGTCCCGCTGGAATCGCCCACAGAAAGGGAACATTTTACAGCCTGATGGGCTTTTTTTTTTTCCACTCTTCTTTTTTGTTGGCAAGTTTTGTCTTCAACAAAGCAAGAAAACCCTTATCAACAACAGCACAAGGCAGCCAAGCCTCTCCTCTCCCTCAGCGCAGTCCTGGCTATCTCCAGCCCCATCTCAGGGACATCAAAGCAGATGCTTTCCGCCCAAAACCCCTCTCCAGCTGAAGAGGAAGCATTGAAGGCTGAGGCTCAAACACAAGTTTACAAAACATTTTGTATTCCAAACACTCCCATTGTTCCTTTCTTCTTTTTTTTTTTTTTTTCCCCTCTGCAGATCTAGTAAAATGGTAGCAGGCCCCAGGCAGGAAGAGGTGAAACACCCCTGCAGGACACCAGAGCTTCCCAGCTCCATCACTGCAGCCTCCCAGCTCCATTGCCAGCCCCTGCAGAACACCAAGAGTGAAGCCTCAGCGTGGATCCTTGTCACTTGACCACAGTGACCCAGCACGAGTGGCCATCACCAGCCCAGCCCCCAGGGCAGCTGGAAAGGGAGCAAGCACCAGCAGCCAGCTCACCCATGGAGGACTCGGGACTGGGCCCAGCCACTCAGATCTCTTGGAGGACACAGTATCAGCAGCTTACAGAGATCCCACACTGACAACTTCCTACCCAGGATTTCCATCTCTCCCCAAAAAAGTGACTTTGGATGCACCAACAGCTGCTCCCGAAAGGCTCCAGAGCTCCTGCCTGCTGGAGCACAGGCTCTGGGAGAGCTGGGTTCCACAGGGAATGGTGGCACGGGCCCGGAGGAACCCACAGAGCCCACAACCCACCTTGTCCATGTGGAAGATGAGGTCCAGCTCACACACATTCTCGAAGCACTTGTCCAGCGTCTCCACAAACACCTGAGGTGGCAGGAAGGGAAGGTCAGGACATGAGGCCACTGCAAGATGCTTCCTGCATGCAGCTCCCACCAGAAACCTGTCACACCCCAGGGTGTCACCCTGAGCAGGGACAAAACCCTCTCTTCAGTGGGAGGGAAGTGCCTGTCCCCAGACCAGCACGGGCACAACCAGCCCAGCAGCCAGCCAGGATCCACACAGGAGCTGGGGAAGGGGCTGGAGCACAAGTGTGGCAAGAGCAGCTGAGGGAGCTGGGGACGTTGAGGCTGAGAAAAAGAGGCTGAGGGGAGACCTGCTGGCTCTGCAACTGTCTGAGAGGAGGTTGGAGCCAGGGGGGTCGGTCTCTGCTCTCAAGAAACAAAGATTCGGACAAAAGGAAACAGCCTGAAGTTGCCCAGGGGAGGTTTAGATGGGGTATTACAAACAATTTCTTCCCCAAGGGGCTGTCAGGCCCTGGCCCAGGCTGCCCAGGGCAGGGGTGGAGTCCCCATCCCTGGAGGGGTTTCCAAGCCCTGTAGATGTGGTGCTGAGGGATGTGGGTCAGTGGTGGCCTTGGCAGGGCTGGGGTAACACTTGGACTTGATGATCCTCAAGGTCTTTTCCAACTAAAACAATGTAATGATTGTATTTTTTACAGGAATGAACTGGGATTGACTTCCCCTGCTGCTCCCCCGCAGAGCAGCTGGGCTTCAGCTCCCTCTCCCCACTGCAGCCCTGAGCAGCTTCTCAGCCACTTCCAGGAGCTGCCAGAGACACCGAGTGCACTCGGGAGCTGTGGGGGACTGGGGTGCCACACCTGGAGGCAGGTACCCGGTGGCAGCCCCCGCAGGGGGACAGAAGGACCCACCTGGATGAGGTCCAGGATGCCCAGCTCGCTCTCCGAGGAGTCCACGCAGAAGACAAAGTACAGCGTGGCGTAGTGGCGATAGATCAGCTTGTAGTCAGAGCCACCGAAGAGGCTGCGGGGACACGGGGGGAGGTGACGGGTCTGGGGGGGGGCACAGAGGCACAGCCCAGGCCAGGGGGTGATGCCCCCTCGCCGGGGGGCAGGGGGTACCTGCCGCACTCCAGGAAGTTGCAGATGTGGTCATCCCGCTTGAGCACCAGGTGGAAAGTCTCGCGGATGATCTGCTGCTGGAGCTCCTCTGCCTGCACCCAGCCCAGGCGGCCACCGTGGGTGGGGGGACCCTCGTCCCCT